GCAATGAAGAAACCTTCATGTCAGAAAGGTTTCATTCTAGATGGATTTCCTAGGACTGTGGTCCAAGCAGAGAAGGTGCCAAACTATCAATATCTAATTGTGTGCTTGTATGAATGTGAATAAATACATTCATCAACAATGGGTGTGTTTATATGTTTCTAGCATTGGATATTTTCAATTGATTTTTTGTAAATGCTTCTAACCATGAATTGCTTACTTTTTATGTGCAGCTTGATGAAATGCTTCAAAAGCAGGGAGCTAAAATTGACAAGGTGCTTAATTTTGCAATCGATGATGCAATTTTGGAGGAGAGGATCACTGGCCGCTGGATCCATCCTTCCAGTGGACGAACATACCATACAAAATTTGCGCCTCCCAAGGTTCCTGGTGTCGATGATGTAAGGAAACATGAATGATCCTTCATTTACATATTTTTTTAATCACATTTTATTTAATTGGATTTTGAAGTGCATATATTGATGCTGGGTGAATGTAGTGAAAAATAAACTGGTTAATGAGTGCACAATTTTTTTTTAATAGAATTGGATATTTTTCAAATATGCTAGTCTGTAACATCAATTGTGAACAGTACTTGGTAATTGTGATCTCCTGCACTTGATGTTATTCTTACATATTACCGTTTGTCAATACTTGGGCTGAGTGGCAGTGTTCTGGTTGTATATTTGTAGACTGCTATTGGACAGGTTATTAAAAAAAAATTTATTTAAACAACAGAATATTTGAAAATCAACTGCAGTTTTTAAAACTGTTAATTTTCATTCCAAGTTTGATAAGGAGTTGATTATGTTAAGAGGAGGTAATCTAGCCATTGGTTATCCATCTTGAGCAAAATTGTGGGATTGGGTACTTTTTGAGAGCCAATTGAAAATTGTTTGCAGGGAAGCTATTTAGCACCACATATTTGGGGTGTGTTGTTTTTGTGGATAGATTATTAATCTACAAACTGTGCCTGCTGCATCCTTGCAATAAATGTTTACGGACTTGCTTCTTTCTTTTGGTTTCTTGAAGGTAACTGGAGAACCTTTGATTCAACGCAAAGATGATACTGCAGCTGTTCTTAAGTCAAGGCTAGAGGCATTTCACAGGCAAACTGAGCCGGTATGCTTTTTGCTTTTTATCCATGTGAAAATGATGCATTTCTTGCTAAAGAAGTCCCTGCTTTGGGTAAGGAAAGAATGGCTTGTGGAGATGTAGATTTTTAAAGTAAGACAATTGATTCCTAGCTGATTACAAGAAGCCTAGTACAAAAAGGAATCTATTCCTAACCAGTAAGCTTTATTTCATTACCTTGGTGACACCACAGTGTTGGATTCAATTATCTAGTCACCCATGGAAAAATGGACTAGGATCCAACTCCTGTTCGAGTATTTTGGTGATGGCACTACATGTCGGTAGGGGGCAAGAGAAAGATGCCTTTAAGCCATGGACGGGAGAGTACTAGAACCAGGGTTTTCTTCTCCCTACATAGGACAGCTATCTTCTTGGGCCTTTGGTATTATATTTATTTATAAGCACAGAAAGGTTTCTTGGCTGGCCTGTTCACAAGCTATCTTTTATGAACACGATAAAAAATGTTCTTCCTCAATTCTATCAAGTGTCAAGTCTCCAGCCATCACATGTTAATATGCCGTTGTGTTTTGCACTGCAACTTGTGCTTGTGGCCATTCATCGTAGGGCCTCCTCTTACACATAGTATTGTGATAGTATAAAGTTCTCTCATGGAAATGGATCTTGCCATTGGAATAACACAAGTCCTGCTGGATTTCTATTAGGTTTTTTTGGAAATATTACCTTATAATATGGCTGCTTATATTAAGTCATTGAGTAATGATGATTACCAAGTATCTGGATGGTTATGGAGCCCACTTGAATCACCTCTTTGGTTTTAGCATCTAGATTTCTTCTCCATTGTTAATCCTGCCTGTGTCTTGCCACTCACTATATATTATTGTCCTCTTAGTTAGTGCCCTACTGAAATCTGATGGTGTTCTGGATGCTTGGAATGCAGGTTATTGGTTATTATAAGAATAAGGGTGCTGTTGCAGAGCTTCATGCAGAGAAATCGCCAAAGGAGGTTACAGCTGAGGTTCAGAAAGTGCTTTCCTCGTGAAATTGGGGCCCTTTGGACTCGTAACATATTATGTCCATTGGGAATTCAGCGGATTTTGTTTTCATTGTATCAAACATGTTGTCACATACGCTGATCATTTTGCTTTTCTTTCATTTTATTTGCGAATTGCCGGCTGCCTTTTGTCACTGAGGAAATAACCGAGTACACATACAAAATAAAAGATGCTACAGGGTTGGCATATGTTTTTCTCTCCTTTATCACTGTTGGTTTTATCAGTGGAGATGCTTTTATTTTATGATACATGTATCAAAGCAATTGAGAAAGGTATGCAATCGGACACATATTTCGACAAAGCTTATTGGAAATATGTTATGAATTATTTTAAGAAGCAGACTGACCATGCATTAATGAAAGCACAATTAATGAATAAATGGGATGGAATAAAAAAGGATTAGAAAATATAGAAAAATTTTATTTCCAAAATATGAGTAGGCTGGAGTACTGAATTTGAAACAATTTTGGCAACTGACGAGTGGTGAAAATCTAAAATCAAGGTTTATTTTTTTTGAGTATATGTACAAGCGCAATAAGCTATTTTATTATTTGCTGTTACAATAATTATGATGCATTTATATCTTCACTATTTTTTATTATAGGAGATACGAGGAGCTAGAAAGTTTAGGCATGTTGGTATCGATCCCATATTTTGTTGTAAATATAATATCATGTTTACAAACATTGTAGCTACCGGTCAGCATGTTTGGGCTCCATCATAGGGTTTGAATTCTGATGATGATGTTTTCGGTGAAAGGAGAAATAATGCATCTAATGAGGATCCATATCTAGAGGAAGGTAGTTGTGATTCAGAGGAGGATACTTTATTAAATTTTATAGAGGATGTCAATAATATGGTTGGTGGGGGGAAATTTTTTAATGTACTATCAATTCTAGTGGTAGGGGGAAGAGAAAAGATGTTTAACAATGTACATAAAAGAGTAAAAAAAAAGATTCAAGAATGGGAGCGTAACTGTTTTTACATTTAGATCGATTGTTGAAAGTGTATATGATAGGAGTGAATACACATCAAGTGGTTGGGATAAAAAAAAAGATGTAGCATTGAAAAGGTCATGAAGGAGTTTCATTCTATTGAGAAAGTGGTTTTTCACAGTGAGCTTTATTGTTTTGCAACTGAGTTTTTCATGGTTAGAAGTAAGAGGAAAATGCCGGCAGCAATTGGAGATAAGGAAAGAAAATTTCAATGGCTGAAATTCATATTTTAGGGGAGGTTAGACGCAAAACCTTGACATAAATGTAAATCTATTATAATATACTTACACTTATTTATATTCTATTTCTCATCAATTGAAGTTGATTGTGTTGTCATATGTTTTTTTTACAACATTACATGAATTTCATATTTCAAGTGAAGAGTTGTTGGATTATATATAACATTGATTATGTCAATGTATTTTAATGATCTATAAACATATTTTGGTGTTGTATGTTTTCACAGTTACAAGAACACAATATGAATCCTTATGCTGATTTGCACTTTATGAGTTGCTACTGCTGTGTTGTTATAATATGGTTCAATGTACGAGATTAGTCATTGTTATTTTTTTTTCATTTCTAATTTGTAACGTATACTATATTGATGTATTGCATTTTATTTATATTTGTTGGATAATGGTTCTTGTTCGAGGGTTGAAAAATATGTCGGAATGCTTCTTGTTAGAAGCTGGAATTATAGGTGTTGAATGTGGTTATAATGACTGTAAACATTTAGGTTGTGTTTGTTTTTGCAATCTGGAATTGGATATTAAAATTTGTAAGTTTGAATGGGTATTAACATGTTAATTGTTAGCTTTGGGAGTTTGGAATTGTTGGTGTAAAGTTGTTAAAGGATGGTATGTGTATATTTGTTTCTTCATATTTTTTATTGCCTATTTAAAGCACAATTTCAATTTAAGCACATTCATTTTAGCTGTCAATATATAACAAACATTGCCACTAGAATTGCACTATTTTGAGAATGTTAGTTGTCGATTTTGAGGTTAGATAATAAATCAGTTTTATGCACAATTAGAGCTTCATGTTCACCTTCTTTTTTTATATCCTTATTCCTCCTCAATTAATTGCTTTCATTATCACAAACTTAATTGAATTCGTAATTGATAAGTATGCTTGTGATGCACGTAATATTGTATTCATTAATTATTACTAAAAGATCTATGATTATTAGGGAATACTTCATAATTATTATTTTGGTTTAAGTTTAGGTGGACATGAAATTTTAATATTCAAAACAGACTCCTCCATGTACATGTATTTGTAACAATTTCATGAGTGAAAATTATGTTGTGTTATAGATATGGATGTGAATTGGTTTAATGATCTATTTGATGATGAATATGACAATGTAATGAATAATGTTGTTCAATGTGTCAGATGATTTTTGATAATACAAATATTGGAAGTAGTTTTAAATGTAGTAGCGGAGTTGGTAATGAGAACAATACAGATGATGATGACAACAATGCAAATAAACATGATGATAATGAGGAACATAATTTGTTTTAGCTTAGAGAGTGTGATCGCAATAAATTAATATTATGCACAGCTGGAGCATTGACTTTGTATTATAGCAATTATATTTACAAAGAACCATGTATGGTTTCATACAATACATGAATGAGATGGTTGAATGATATTTTTTTCAATCCAGCATTCCCCATATGGATGCAGACACATTGCAAAGCTTGTGTATTGATTTGGAATCGTTGTACGGGCTAAAGTAGTATAGAAGGATGCGTTTTATTGAGAAGGTATGTATGTTTCTCTATACTTTAAATCTATGAGTTTCAAACAAGGAAGTTCATAAGAAATTTCAACATTCAGGTGAAACCGTAAATAGATATTTTAACGAAGTTCTCAAGTTGGTATGTGACACGACGAAAAGATTGATGTCTTCTCCCAAGTGCAGGAGTGTCGAAGTAATAAATAACCCGGCAAGACCGAGGTCGAACC